TTCAAATAATCTAAACTTGAATTATTTAGGACTGTTTCATTTTGGGGTCAAGAAATGCATTGATACAAAGATTGTATGATTTCAGTAATATAAAACCTCCCCCCCCCCCCCATGTGATCTATATAGATGAATTCTGAACCAAGTTTTGTAATCCCTGATATTATTAATCACTAGCTCGATAGCCGTGCTTCACTACCAAACTATGTGATTGAGCTTAGGGAAGGAAAATAAGGGGGGGGGGGAATTCTGCCTCTGCCTACCAGCATCCATCAGTATTCACCTGGCTAGCGTCCTGTCAGTGTGTGAGAGAGTTGAGGGCTGTTTGGAAACTGAAGCATTATTTGCTGTGTGAGCAAGAAAGAGACAGCATGGAGCCTGGGTGTGACTTAACTCAACTGTTCTGCACTACAGCCGATTGCTGCTGTGAAACTACAACTACAACTGCAACTCCTCTCCTTTGCTTTTGTTTTGCATTTGGAACAGATTTCTTTTTAGGTAGGGAGGGGGAGTAGAACTCCTTAGCATCAGAGCATGTTAATAATAATAATATAGGAAATACTGATGCTCTAATGGTCATTTCAAAAAACTCTTTCTTAGTGAGAAAGATATACAGTAAGGTAGAATCAATTTGGTGATCTATTTTGGATGTAACCCCAACACATATAAGTAAAACATTGTTTCTCAAAGAGGAACCACAAATATCAGCACAGATGTCAAAGGGCAAAGTATTCAAATTTGTGTCTGAAAAAAAGAATGAAACAAGGCTCTATTTACATACTGGTTTCAGCATATAGTCTACTACCCTCTAGAGTTGCATTTTAGTTTATAAACAAAAGGAGAACAAAATTTAACTTCACAGAATATCTTCAGATCTTAGAGTAGAGAAGACATTTCCCAATTTCCATTGACATTTTGCTGAAAATAGATAAAAAAGAACTATTGATTTCTTAATTTACCATTTAAAAAAGACTGTGAAGGGAACTAGGTTAGTTCATTTTTTACTACCAAGTACCAGGTATGTCTAGAAAATACCAAATATTTTGTTTCTTTGTGTTTTACTGTTTTCAACACATTTTTCTTTCTCTTTTCTTCCTACCTTTCTTCTACATTGTTTGTTTGTTTATCTTTTCACTTTGTAACAAATCTTATAAATATACAACACAATTTCTTGGTTTCCTAGTTCCTGAATCACCCAGAAGATCAGGGATGTCCAGCATTCTATTTTTCAAACCTAGCTCAACTGAGGAAATATGAAGGAGTCCATGTTCAGAATCTAAATTTTCCTCATCTTGCCTGGTTTAGTTTCAATGATATCTTCCCTGCTACATAAAACAACTCTGTGGATCCGCTTACTGATCCTACATAGCTAAACAATAGTCACTCAAATCAGATCAAGTCAATATTTATTACAGTCCAAGACCTGAACAAGTTAAAAACACTGAAGGCATATTGAATTAAAAATCCTAGAATAAGGTAATAAATAACAAATAAAATCTAATGTTAAAATCATAATCTGTCAGTTTCACATAAACCCAAAGAAAACATGGGCCTAAACTATAACACCAATCCTTGAACTGTGAAGGCCTACGGTCATGAGATACTAAAATGCAACGAAGTGATAATGCTAAAAGATTTGCTGCATTAATTGTGTGAACTGGCTATAATGGATTAATCAGCAGATTCCAATGAATCTCCAGCTCTGTTGTGCAGCCACCTGATAGTTATTCACTTATTTGCATGACATATAGAAGCATAGAAATTCAAATACTTTGGCCACCTCATGAGAAGGAAGGACTCACTGGAGAAGAGCGTAATGCTGGGAAAGATTGAGGGCCATAGGGGATGGCAGAGAATGAGGTGGCTGGATGGAGGCACTGAAGCAGTAGGCGTGAGCTTAAATGGACTCCAGAAGTTGTTAGAGGACAGGAAGACCTGGAGGAACGTTGTCCATGGGATTGTGATGGGTTGGACATGACTTTGCAACTAACAACAACAACAAATAGAAGCATAAATGATTAATATGACCTGGTCTGTATAACATGTAGGCTAAAAATGTGCTTAGCTAAATTGTGATTCAGTGAATCATGTTACCACTTCCTCTGCTTTTGTGAAAAGATCTCTTATTTTTCACCACATTTTAAATCAGACTCAAACTAGAGTCTTTTAAATGTGATGAGTCAAACTCAACCCATTGCCCCAATTGGTCAAATTAGCACTTAAAAGGATACAGAATTCCATTATCTTTCATTATGAATATAATGACCCTTTCACTGTGTGAATGTCGAAGGAAGCCATTTCTGTGAATGCTCTTATGGAACCTTATTTCTTCTGCGATCTCCAAGCATCCATGCTCAATCTGTCTACCGGTTACCCTTGTAGGTTATTTCAAAGTGCTATAGTTTTAAAAAGTTACTTGAGATTTAGTTAAGCATGCTATTATGAGAGCTTGATTTCTGCTAACATCTATGCTTCACTGCCAGGGAAAATTTTATAGGTCCCAGGATTGGAGCATTGGGAGCTGTAAGCGTGCTGTTGGAGCTATAATGTACCATTCAGATCAAAATCAATCATAGCATCTTCATCTCATTATGGATTTAATTTTCTTCTGTGTATTAAGCTTAAATGTCAGATGGCTGGGAACATAAACAAAGGAACATTGGTTCCCCCAGTTACGGGAGATCAGGAGCCTATAGCTCTTTGTGGTGGAAACGAGAATCTGCACGTGTGTGAAAGAGTAATAATCAAAGCCGAGAAGACACATTGTTCCTTTGGTTTCATTGATTTTTCAGTAGATTTGATCAATCTTTGCAGCGAAGGAGAAGTAGTACTAGGGGTGGGCTGCTGAGAGTTCGCAGGGGTTCGGGAGAACCCCTAGCTAAGATTCTGTGCAGTTCAGGGAACCCCCAAATCCCACTCCTGGCTGGCCCTGCCCACCCCACCCTTCCCAGGAGTCACCACACAGCCAGTTTTGGATGCAGGTAAATGCAGGGTGAGCATGAAGGCTTGGGAAGGGCAAAAAATGGGCCTCCTGGAAGTTTGGGAAGGTCCGAAATAGGCCCCATTATCAGCTTCTAGAGAGCCTCCGCAGCCAGGGGAGGGCAAAATTTCCCCCCCCCCCGACGTGGTGCAGGAGGCTGACTAGGCCACACCCACCATGGCCACACCCACCCAGCAGCCGGGCATAGAACCCATTGCTAAAATTTTTGAAGCCCACCCCATACCTCTACGTACCTTTAGAAGAGAATTGAGGTTTTGTTCTGCAAAGGAGAATCGTCCTTCAGAAAGTCAAAGAAATATTTGCTGTTCTCCAAATCTATAATTTTACTGTCTGAAGCTCTTTAAAGAGAGCTTGAAGCTACCATTCCAGTGTGGGAGGGGAGAGGGAACAGCATACTGTTTGCCATTCATGAAATGCACTGTGTCTGGGTGAGGACCTGAAATATTCCAACACGAGACTTTAGTGAAGATCCTCTGGAGATTCTGGTGGCACTTTGGTCCCCGGGCTCATCAAATCCGGAACATTTATAGGTGGAATTGAATAATCATTATGTACCTTAGCAGTTTTTTTGTTTTTTTTTTCAAGGTGGCTGGAAAATTAGATCTAATTTCGCTGGGGAGAGGAACAGCCTGCCTCAGCAAGAGAAATGGTTTCCAAACAACATTGATTCATTTTGGTGTGGCGTGTTTTCAGATTCCGTTCTCATTCATGTATTTATTTCTAAACAGGGAGCAGCCATGGATTCGGGATTCTGTAAGGTGGAAGGTCAATCAGCTATTAAGTTCCACTTCATTTCCCAAAGACTGTTGCTCTTTATTAAGGGCACTTTTGTTTTATTATTTTTTCCCATCAGGGCACGTAGTAAAACAACCTCCACCACAGTCACTCTGATTCTGTGTTTCAATGTGCCTGAGGGAACCGTTACCATATCTTCATCATTCCTGTATTTTTTTTTAATTGATGACTGATAAATCCATAGAGAGTCTACAAAGTGAAAAAGAGAATTAACTTTCTCGCTTACCCACGATCATTCTGCAGTCAGCTCCAGTGAGTTTTGGATCTACATGTTTCTATCCATCTGTGTGTATATCAACATATACTGTACACAGACACTGTGCCCCAAAGCATTTCTTGACATATTTTGTGTTGGTTCTGCTGTTTACATGAGTCCCTGAAGCAATCACTTTTTTTTTTTCATTTTAAATGAAATAATTTGATTCCTTGGTTTATGTCCTTGGAAGCGATGTCCCGATATAAAAGGATGTGTGTGCATAATTCTGGAACACCTTGAGCAATTTCAACCAAACTTGGTACACAGGTTACTTACAGATAACTTACAGATTACAGATTACTTACTCCCTGGAAACAAATACTGGCGGGAAAAAACACCCCTAACACCCCTTGGAGGGTGGGGGGTGTTCTGTTAAGATACAGCCTATTGTGCTTTAAAATGGCTTCTACCGTACTGCCTTAAAATGGCTTCTACTCTACAGCGCCGTGGAGTTGCCATGGTAATGGCTTCACAGTATTCCACAAGGGGGCTCTCTCTCTGGTAAGGGGAAAAATCCAACATTAGAAATTACATTTGTTCCAGTTAATTGTCGCTGAAATCGGGGCTTTTCCTTTCTAATTCAGGATTAGGATAAATAAATACCCAGGGAACACTGGGTTATTGACTAGTTAAATTCTAAAGCTAGCCAACATGGTTTCCTATCTTGCAGTTGAACAGGATTTTCTGTTCAACAAGAAGAAATAGGCCATGACAAGCACTAAAGAAACTCTTTCTTGAATTTTTCTACTGCAGTCATTAAAATGATCTTACTTTTCTCTGACGTTCACAGCCCTATAATTCTTAGAACTGCACAAATTATCTCCACTGTCTTTTTTTGTTTGTTTGTTTGTTTGCTTTTTCACAACTGTAAATCAAATCTGGGTCTGTTAATCTCTCAAGCAACTAACAGCAGATATTTTTTTTTCTGTTCCTCTCTTTTTGTCCCCAAAGCATTCAAAAGATGTGGGAAGACCTCAGACCCCACTAAAAGAGACAAGTCTAGAGTCATGGACCCAACCACCGGTAAGCAAGAACATTTAATTTATGTTGGTTATGTTTTCCTGAAAAAAGGAGAGGAAATTCAGATGGTTCCATTTGGGAAAAAAAAAAAAAAACACTGTTAATGGAATACATCAACCGCAAAAGTGCATGGAAATCATGTTTTGATATATTTAAATAATGCCAAGCTTTGTCCTCTGAGCCTTAGAAGATGACATGATATGTGATTTAAAAAACATATCCTGAATGTTGTGCTCAAGAACACTTGATTGAGGACATTTCTCCTCATTCTCAAAGGAAAGGATTAACAAATCTATTTATTTTAATGTGGTTTTAAAAATATTTCTTTGAGAAAGCATTAAGCAAACTGTCTTCCATAGCATTTTTCCCCATTTGCTTTGGGCTACACCATCCCTGCTCACTGAATATCCTTAAGGGACTGATGGTTGAATAAACTTACTGTTATCTGGGTTATCTTTCACCTATTACATGTCAGCAGGAGATTAAGCCACCAAAGATTATTCCACAGTTATGAGGATCATAGAAAATCTCATTGATGAAGATTTCTTCAGAGAAGCAGCTATTTGTTACAAAGATATCTTCTTCACTTACCCACTATGGCCAGGAGAGAGATGTTTTTGGGAGAGTTATAAAACACTTCTATCCATCCATCTGGTATGGTAGGGAGGGAAAACAAAGGTATTACTGAGTAATGCTTCACCACAGAGATGGAAGGGGGTTGGCAAAATCAAATGCTTGATTTCTTTCAAAAACTATGTCAGTTCTGGACAAGCAGCATTAATTCCTCTCTTTTAAATATAGATTGGTGATGATGTTGAAAATAGGTAGGTAGGTAGGTAGGTAGGCAGGCAGGCAGGCAGGCAGGCAGGCAGGCAGACAGACAGACAGACAGATAGATAGATAGATAAATAGACAGACAGACAGACAGACAGATAGATATGATAGACAGATATACTTTTTTTTTTATGTTCTTCTCCAGCTATGTTGCTGATTTTCCTAAACCAACTTCTAGTCTTTCTTCTTCACAGACAACCTCTTTACTGCTGTGATGCAATGAAGGTAATTAGTAAACATATTTTCCCGAAGTTTAAGTTGACATTATATTTCTATTTGTTTCTTAAAGGATCATCCTAATTAGATTTTTTTTGTCCTAATTAAAACTATAAATGCCACAAGTCTGATGCAACATGCTGAAGTTAGAAGAGTGTCAAAGTAAGTTGAGCAGATGGTCTGGGATGTGTTACTAAGTAGGCAGACCTAAGGTTTTCTTACAAGGAGAAAGGAAATGAAGGGCTGAAGGAGTAAAGTAAGGCATGATTCTAGAAAGACAGCAGTTTTGATAAGAATTGTTAAATTCTTTCCAGAATATCCAATGGTAGCTTTGTGGATGTAATGATGATTCATAGCAAATCCTCAGTCCCATCTATTTCAGTTCATGTTAATGAAACTTTATTTTACATGGCTGTACAACATCCAAAATGACTATTAGAACTGAGCTTTTCATTTCTCCAGCTCATTTCAGATGTCAGCTTTACTTGTAGCCACAAAGCATTTGTTGCCCTTGATCGGAATAAATTACGAAGCTCACAGTTTTTGGATCAGTTCTCCAATCTATGCCAAGGGTGTATTTTCATGCCATCATTAAGATATATCTGGGGTGTGGGACCACAGTCAAGCCACACGAGGATGGATACATGATTATGGTCCACAGTTGGTACAATGATATACAAATTGTACTAGTGTGGGGCACTAGTGAGGAACAGAAATGTACAAATTAAGTTAATGTCTGCGGATAGTTATGAGCAGTTCATTAACTCGGAGGATGGAATTCTATCTAAGTCTGTCCAATGACAGTTAAAGGTGAAGGCTTTTCAAAGGAGTACTGGTCCATCAGTTTTGACTCGCCAGGAAAGAAATTACAGCTGTTCACTTTGAGGGATAAGGAAACTGATGAATGACAGCACTTGATACACAACATTTAACTTGAAAATTGTATAATGTATTATAAGTGGATATTTCGGGATTGGCTATGGGGCTTAACATTGTTCTTTGCCTTATGGAAAACTGCTCCATTTTTTAAAGTCATTGTTTGTAGATGATCTTACCCAAGGAGGTGGAAAAATGAAACAATAGTTGGGTTTATTTATAACATCTCTTTTATTTGTATGGGCTTTGTAGCTTTGTTTTTTTTTCATCTCCTTCTGGGAGGTGTAGTCTAACATATCCGAAAGGCCACAGGTTGAACCTGGATAATTTTTTCTCCTGGTTGTTTGTCTTGTTTTTTGTCTTCATGTCATTTGGAATTTTTTTCAGTTAAATTTTGTAGGTTATCCTATTTAATACTTGCTTGAAGTTTGCTCTTCAACAGACAGATTTCATTTATTCATATAGCCGGTTCCTAGACAAAAATGGCAATGGGTAATTCCAATAGACCAATGTGCTGACTGCACATATCATACTAAACTACTGTGTATTGATTGCTTGTTTGTTACACATGTTGTTCATGAATCATGACTTATAACTCTTATGTGCAATACTTCATTATGACATAACTCTTATGTGCAATACTTAGTTATGACAGCTTGTACAGGAAACCATGACTAACATGAATTAGGCTGGTGTGTTGTCCCAAAGATAAGGGGAAAAAATGATTGAAGATCATTTAAAACAGTGTTTTTAAGGTTCTCCTTTTCTTCTTCTTCTTAAAAGAATGTAATTCAGAATAAGTGGGATTGAAATTAAGATGTGTAGTTAAAATAGAGGAGATTCTTTAAAGCCAGTCAGATTTCTCCATTCTCTCTGCTGTAATCAGATGAAATGTCAGCTTAAACATTTGCTGCCTTTGATGTGCATTTCAAGTTAGTTGTAAAGGAATTTTAGTGTAACACACAAAGACGGCATTGTTTGAAACTGAGAAAAAAAAAAGGCCACTGTGATGATCTTCCTTTTCTTTTCTTTTTTTATGACCCATCAAAATTACAAAGTATTCACAAATGAAAGATTTCTCTTTGTTCAAGAAGATCTCCCAGTCTCTCTTCCATATCACGGTTTGCTGTGTTTATGCCATCTTTTGAGAAAGTATATCTTAGCTTTCTCTTGATGATCACATTTAGACAAAGAAACAAATCTTTACAAATTACAAAATGAATGAGTTTGGTATAAACGTAAAGGTTCCCCTCGCACAGACGTGCTAGTCATTTCCAGCTCTAGGGGGCGGTGCTCATCTCTGTTACAAAGCCGAAGAGCCAGCGCTGTCCAAAGACATCTTCATGGTCATGTGGCCGGCATGACTAAATGCTGAAGGCACATGGAACACTGTTACCTTCCCACCAAAGGGGTACCTATTTTTCTACTTGCATTTTTATGTGCTTTCGAACTGCCAGGTTGGCAGAAGCTGGGACAAGTAACGGGAGCTCCGTTACACGGCGCTAGGGATTCGAACCGCTGAACTGCCAACCTTTCTGATCAACAAGCTCAGCGTCTTAGCCACTGAGCCACTGTGTATACTTATACTTATCCTGTATACTTGTGGCCAAACACACATCTCTTGCACTCATTCAAAATGTAGAAACAAGCCAAGATATACCCACTTAATCTATTTAAGCCATAGCTAATTGTTCCAAACCTGGGGTGTCAAACTCAAGGCCCGGGTCCCACCCTGGAAACAGCAAAGGACTGGTCCATGGTGCCTCTGCCAGTGAAAATGGAGCTCGGGAGGGCCACATGTGCCCCTCCTGAGCTCCGTTTTCACTGGCAGAAGGTTGCAGGAGGCCATCACAGCTGAAAATGGAGCTTGGGAGGCCATTTTCACTGGCAGAGTGCTTGGGCCACGACTGGTGCCCCCGACGCGAGTGATGTTAAGCTGGCCAGGCCCACCACAGCTCCCGCCTCCCCGAGGTCAAACATAACCCTGATATGACCCTCAACGAAATCGAGCTTGACACCCCTGTTCCAAACAACCGATTATACGAATCTATACTTTAAATTTAATATAGGAGAATATTTGTAGCTCCGGTTTGAAATGAGGGGTCCTTGGTGTTCTCTGAGCTTGCTTTTTTTCCTGCAGATGTTTCATTACCCTAACTAGGTCAGTGCTAGTAACTGGCTCTGAGTAGCACTGATGATGTTACCTAATTAGGATAATGAAACATCTGCAAGAAAACAAGCAAGCTCAGAGGCACCAAGGACCCCTGACTTTAAATTTAGTTTCATAACTTTTCTTTGGAAATAATTACAATTTCTACTTATAAAGAATAGATAGAAAATATATGAGGACATATAGAAAAATCCTCAAATGAACGCAGTCCTTCCTTCTTTCCTCCCTCCCTCTCTTCCAACTGAAGAAAAAAATAAGTGGCGTTAAGATCCCCAAAAAGTATAGCACCTATAAAATACCTTAAATAATACAATAGTTAAGTATTGAAGTACTGTTTTAATATGCCATTATTTTAATACCCTACTACAATTTTAAAATTTGATATAGTAAAATATTTAAGGTGAAAACTGATTGATTATCAAGGCACTTTATTGAAATATTTATTAAGATTTCAAGTCAGTGTCACTAATTGAGTTCAGGAATTTAAACCAGCAAAAAATTTAGATTATTTATCTGACTAAAGCTCATACTTGTTAAGGGATTGCTCTGTCTGGCATACTGTTGCAAAGAATTTTGCTGTTTGTAAGATAAGAGTGAGAACATCATGATACTTTGGAGGTGGGGATGTTATTTGTATTGGCCATTTACAGTATGAGATGTGTATGAAACAACTACCAAACCCGAAGACTTTGAATCTTCCTGCTTACTCATATCAATTACCTTCCTTTTCAGTATATTCTTCTCCTGATTATATGTCATTCCACAAGCTGTATTTGTGCCATTTTTGTCTGTACCCCAACTTTCTAAGGTAAAGATTACCTTAAAAAGTTGCGGTACAACTCTGGTGATATTGAACTCTGCCAATATCACCATAACTAAGCCTCGTGGTTGGAAATTCAACTTTATT